TGCTGGTCACTGAAACTATTACATCCACATCCCCACTGTCAATCACATTATGTTGAGAATTTAGCCCCAAAATTTTCTGATCAGTTACTCAAAAATTCTTTGCAGTAAAATCTGTAACTTTATAACGACAATCTTCTTTTCTTTTCTTTTTTAAAGTTGTTTTACCTGAAAAGGAGTATCCGAAGACCAGATGCCATAAGCCTCCTGTATGTTGGGAACATTGTTGATGGGCTATCCTTCCAATAATCAATTATGTCACTAGCATCACAAGAAACAGATCATTAATGTCGTCCAGAATACTATGTTTCATAGTAGAAGCGTAGAACAACTTCAGAAAATGGTAGTGCCTGTGTTTTTCCATTTGAAATTAAGACTTCATCCTTAATAAAGCTGACAATTCCAAATTCTAGCAATTCGAAGGTTAATCAGAATGCTGCTTATCATCGCTTCACTTGGTTCTCTCCTCAAAATTGTTTATTCATAGATTGAAAGACGAAAAAGGAGGTTTTTTGGCATAATGATTAGTTGTTTACCTGCACAGCTGCCAAGAATAAGGCAGTTTGGTTTGGTTGGCATGCAATGCTTCCTGTACGTGAGGAAGATTGAGATAATTTACGACATAATCTCCTTCGCAGGGAAAATACCCAACGAGGAGTTTGGTCCTCCATGGACTGTCAGAATGTGAGCATGATGGGCCATAGATATTTGAAGGATCAATTGCTCCAAATTCCATCTTCCCTGCGTCTTCAAATTCTTGACAAGTTTTGGTCTCTACCATGCAGTTCTCTCTGAGTCTTTGATAGGTTTCATCCGAAATTAGGGCATGGCTCCAAAGAAAATCATAAGTTCCTCTCACATCTGTCACTTCATTCATTATCCCGTTTCCGATCTGCGAAATTAATTAATTTTACCAGAGGGCCTGGTAACGTTGCACTTGTCCTCGGATTACGAAAAAAAAAAAAGATAGAATGCTACACGGTTACGGCCGCAATGCATTGGGACGTGTTTTATGTCGGTATTCAACCTAAACAACTTAACAATAGAATTTGGACTATAGAATTTGGCAACTGTTGCGACCGTAATGCATTTGGACGTGTTTTGTGTTGGTATTCAAGCTTTGGCTGCATGCCTGGAGTCGTTATTGGTTTTAACAAAATTGCTGACATACATGCCCTCCTATTAGATGCTACAATGTACGACCAAGCCTAACTCCTGTAGCCTATACTTCATCATTTTCTTCGTCAATCTAAGTCAATTTAGGTTTATGGTTCCATCAGATGCTATGTCCATCTGGCCAAAATGTGCTCACAATTCTCAAGAGAGATTGGAGACCAAAAGTCTTGGCCAAATTTTTAGATTAGGTTTAGTTTTTATGGGCAGAATATGTGTTTTAATTTAAAATAGTAGTGTAGTGGTAGACAGTAGTATTTTGTAAAGTGGTATGGTTTAAGCTTTTGCCGTTTACTATCAATTATTGCAACGGCTAAAGAAAGGTGCTTTTGTGTGAAAGGACTAAAGAAACCACATTTCAACTCAAAATAAAGCCCCAATTATTGTGCACTCAATGAACCTCATGAATCCTCTTTCTTTGGGGGCAATTACCCAAATCAGCTTACCATGATCCCTTTTAGCTGAATCTTTGATATTGGCTCCCCCATTGCATTCCTTTTGATGATCACTTCTGCTAGCTCTGGAACGTAATAACCTGAAAAACTAAATCACTTGTGAAGCATATACCTTGATAACCTATACCAAAGACAAGTGACATTGGGCAGCCATCATCTGCGTCTGACATCCCTGGCCCTGAGTGATTGAGCGCCGCAGCGCCAAGAAATTCGACTAATCAATCAGATAAGATTTGTGAACTATACCTGCATAGCTTTCTCCCATTACGTAGAGGTCACGAGCTTTGTAGTGAGGGAACTTCTTGAACCAGTTAACCAGAAATGTATATGAATCTTCAGCTACAGGGCGACATAGAGTGATATCATTAAGTTAATGGAAAGATCAAGAGCAAGTTGCTAGCTTTTTTCTATCATGCCAGTTTTGCAATGGACACTCGTGAGAATAACAATAATTGATGCTTTCCAATAGTGGAATATAGCGAATCAACAGCAGATGTTCGGATGAGGGAATCTCAGCTTTATGGAGTAAAGAGTTGCATAAAATCCCGTGCGAACCAACCCCTGGCCAAGTTGTAAATAAATCCCAAAAAAAAAAAAAGGTGGAAAAAAGAAACCAAAGGAATAGGAGTTAAAGGGGCCTGCCTGTCCTTTTATCGCCTGACCTTTTGTAGTCGGAAGTGGTGCTAGAATAAGAAAAACCAACACCAGCTGGAGACTCCAGGAATAATGTATTTGCAGCTGCATCATGTTTGTCATGTAAAATACCAGAATTAGCAAGAAAAGATGCATATCAGCATGCAACGTTTGATTGCGTGACAAGTCCTTAGAAATATAGAAATCAAGAAGTTGGGAAGGTTCATCAATTTTAACCTCTGTTCCAGGCATGTCTTCTTAAGTAGAGCGTTGTCCCATCAGGGTTAACACCAAATGGCCCGAGCTCCATCATGGCACCATAACCAAGGGATGAACAACCAGGCCCTGCGTCATATGCAACGCGTACCCAAAATGTCAATGCAAATACACAAAGAAAACCAGGTTTGCTTTGAAGATTTTCATGTAGATATAATGATACTCATGGATACATTTGGTATGTTCCGTACCTCCATTTAGCCAAAGGATAAGTGGTTTGGAAAGTGGATCCTGAGCTGCCTCAACAAAGTAATAGAAGAGGTTACGTCCATTCACTTTATCCACGTTGACGTATCCTGCATATTGCTTAAACATCACTCCCGATGGTTGTCCGGGAAGGCCATCCTTAATCAGATCATCTTCCATCTTTCCAACGTCAGATGATGATTTTGTTCCATCCTCCATCTCCAAGCTCATCTCCGTAAATGCCACTTCCATATCTGCAGAAGTGCCTCGAGCAGCCCTTTTTGCGCGACGGAAGGACATTAGAGAACTCGCTTGGTCCTTCCCAAAGCCGTGGCCGAGGCCAGGGCACGTCACAATAAAAAGGATGAACAAGCTCAGCAACTCCTGCTTTTTCTCCATGGCTGATGGATTGGAACAGAACAGTTGGAGAAAGACTCTGTTTGCAACCACCTGCTCTGAGTGTCGAACAATTCGTTTATATAGTAGGAATTGGAGCTGTAATTACCTAAATTTTTTTAACAGAACACAGAAAACATATTTTAACTTAATTAAAGTTTACATTACTTCTTAAATTATCTACAAAGGCAAAATACTGAGATGGTTGCTCCAAACTTGATGAGTTCAGTTTTGCCAACTAAATCTTATTCTCGTGTCAAATAGTTGATTGAACCCTTGACGATGTACAATTTCAGTATTCTCAAATTAACTTTGGTGGTCTGATTTAAGGATTTATTCTCTATGTAAATTGGATAGCTAAATTTAAGACAACAAACAGTTGGTTGAATGGTATTTAGTTGTGTACGTACCCATTGCCCTTAAATTTGGCAATCAAAATTGACACTAATTATCAAAACTTTGCGGTCAGATTGGGTTTGGCCACTCAAGACAAATAATAGCTTGTTTGTTAGACAGAATGAGAATGTTAAAAAGTCTTTAACAGTTAGCAGCCATCCATCTAGGTAGTCAGCAATAACAAACTAGGATCACTGCATTTTGAATTGAGTTTCCTATTCTTTTCTTCATTATCAATTAGTGGCTAAATTATTAATCTGTATGCCAAGAAATCTAAAACATGCCAGCTATAGATGAGCTTCAGGTGATCAGGGGCCTCCAGGTGATCAACGTTGTAAGAATTACATGGCTAAACATGCCAAGAATTCTGTTTAGCCATGTAATTCTTACAACGTTTAGTGTAAATTGATACAATTTTCGTGTAAACCTGAGTTTGTCAACTCATATGACTAGGTTGGAGTAACAATCACGATTACATCAAAGTTGTATGAGTTTATGCTAAAAGTTGCAAGAATTATGTCCAGTTTCGAGACGTCATTGATTATCCTTCTGGAGAGAGCCTTCAAATTGTGTACTTTTCAATGGTTTTTAGGACCTTGCGCTCCTTCCCTTTCGGGTTCTAATTCTTGATCTCAAATGTAGTAAAAACTGAAATAGGAAGAGTATCCAAGGAATGTGCGGGCTTAAAAGTTTGTTGCTTGATTAGATTTATCCCTCCGGAGTTACAGGCAGAATCTGACCCGGCCATCGTCATGAAACTATGAAAGTTGCAAACTGTGAGGACCAATTCCGAACAATAAATGGGAATTTTGAAGAGGATGCAGACTTGCAGTGATGCCTGCGACAGCTTAGTTGATGGCTCGTGCACAGGTGGGGGTTTAGAAGACAGGAACGTCATTGCCTGATCCTGAGAGATGCTTTTGCTCCCATTGGCATTGCAAGTTGCAGCTGGTCCCCAAAGCCCTGTAGTCTGGGATTGAAATACGTGCCTACACAAAATCCTTGAAAGTAGAGTTCTTCTTCCACTGGACCACTTTTCTGTGTCCTCCAGGATTAGACTCTAGATGAAACATTCAGGATTGCCTAAGATCCGACCAATAGAACTCAAAATGATGAATTCGAGGAGCCTTAAACACATTTCCAGAATAACGATACTGTGTCAGTCTCACCATTTCCAGTTGATAAAGCTGTTGCGTTATCGTTGGTTAAAAAGACTCGCGAACGTTTCGAGTGTTGTGAACCCATTCAAGTCCGCAACTATTCCTCATTAAAGGGTTCGCGCATGTTTGTGTGCCAGCAACCGCGAATCGCCATTTCCCGCAATGGCAGATGATGCTTGCCAGATTGGACCATATTTTGATAGGATGGGGCAAACCAAAAATTATCTACAACAGGCACTGAATAAACATAATTTAAGATACAAGTAACTTTTTTTAAAGAGGATCAATGCCCACGAATTTACTTCACACTTCTACAATGCTAAGAGTCTTTAACACTTTGAAACCCCTATGGACCAATGCCAACTCATCATTCGTTGAACAAAACCAGAGAAATATTAGTTAGGCGCAATCTTCATGACCCACCTTGTTCATTGACACCTAATAAACCAGTAAAATGGAAACCCACTCGTACACACCATGGATCAAAAGTGGGCGCATGAACGTGTAAAACTCAACCCAGTGGAAGAGATAGACAGGTGCCAGTTCAGGACTCTCTTTTTTCCTATAAATCTTTGAAGAACAAGACCAAGAGCCACTGTTCATTCAACAAAAAGCGGGATTCAGAAATTCTTCTTCAGGAGCTCTCCCGAGCTTATGCATTCATTATATTAAGCAACCGCATCCCTTTCAGCGTTATGTTCTAAAAGCAGCTGCCTCTTATAAACCGATCTGATTCCTGCTAGGCTTTATCAATCTCGCAAACTTAGACTATACTGCAGAATAGAGACAGGAATAAGAAGGCGTTGAACCCCAGGGAAGACGAATGATATCTTCCGGAATTATAGCATTCCAGCCCCTCACCTTTCTATTAAGCCATTACTTCCATGGCAGATTGAGGTAACACCTGCAGCAAAGCTAAAAGGAGCTGGCCTGCTAGTTATTTATAAATCTCACATGGATCTATCTTTCAGATTAAATAAAAGTTCATTTGTTTACTAGCACTCATCTACTGTAAAAGAATAAAAGCTGGTTTTGGCCAACGCAACCATCGTGCCGGCCTCCTAAGCCTCCTTGATCAGATTTTCTTAGACAAAATCTGGGATGTCTATAAAAAGTAAAATCAAATCAGCTACAAAATTCAACGTATTACAGATGTAATCTTTAAGATAGCAAATTCCCCCTAAATTGTAAGTCTTTATGACTATTGGCATGGCACACAGCGAAGTTCAGTTGACAGGCTGCTGGTAGCCCCCATGACCATTTGAAGCCGCACCATTTGCAGCAGCTGCATACTGCGGCATGGGATACCCGTAACCATTTTGACCTTGCCTTCCATAATTACTGCCGTTCAATTGGTAGCTAGAGTCCATTCTCAACTGCAGTTACGAGGAAATTAAGACTCAAGGACCAAATGAGATGCAAGGACAAGAAGAAATTGAAAATCTACTTTGGTGGTATCTGGAACTACATCCAGATTCCATTTGATAGTGTGGTTGATGAAAAGTTGGCTATGACTTGCAAGCCTAGAATACATGTTACAAGTTCTGCTTCTCATATTAAACATGTAGAGATGTCTATGAAACTTCACATTGTATGACACAGATAAAGAAAGATCAGGAACAATAATAGAGAACAACACGGAGGATGAAAGGGAAGAGCAGTTCAAAGAGTAGAAAAACAAACTAGAAATGTAAGTTCATCTTCCCAGCAATTTTATCACTCAAGCAAAATGATATACAGGTAAAATAATTTCCCCCACTAAATCCTGACATCGACATGAGTTTTACTACGCTACTAGGGATAAGGAAGAAAAAGAGAGGAGAAGGGGGGGGGGAGGGTCCATCCATTACTCTCTCTGAGATGTATGTAACTTGCTTTCAGCAGACAGAAACTAGCCAGCAGATGTTTAAATGGTCTTTCAGCATATGACATTCAAGTAGAAAATCAATTCACTAATGTTGCAGATTTACCTGCTTGTTTACAGGATTCCGACCCCAAGATAGACGCACCATCTGTTTGCCAATAGCAGCTCCATTCAGTCTCTGCATTGCATCTTCAGCATTGCTTCTGTAGATACAAATAATTTAAAATCATAAGAATCTTTCTAGTTTATGCTAATTCAAACATGTCATATTTGACTGTTCATTTCCCATGATTTCCTATACTATTAGTCTTTTCTAAGCTTCATACCACGAGCAATAAAAAAATGAAGCATGACAAATCTGTCTTAGTTTAGCGAGATTTGCACTAAAGAATTTACCATGCACTGCAAAAGCGTTGGGAGGAAATTACCTATTAGAGAATTGTACAAAACCGCATCCTTTTCCTGAAGGTATTTTCACTGAAACTACTTCACCAAACTGACTGAAGGACTCTCTCAATTCTTCATCAGTTACATCAGAATCAAGTCCTCCCACAAAAATCTAAGACAACTTTACATTAGTAAAAGAATAGACCATTCTAGCATCCAACTTCAAAGGAATTTTAACTCACTGTTGTATTTGACGAATCACTGTCAGACTGCGAACCTTGTGGCACAACACCATTTGATGGATATCCTCCAGCCAATACTACCGCTATAAGAAAACATTAGTCTTGAGAGTTTGATGGTTCAAAACACAGAAAACGGAGGACACTATAGAGCAAATAGATAGCGTGCAACAAAATATTTCATGTGTGATAACAATCGTCATTGAACTCAAGCTGTATGGTTCATTTCCAGAAAAAACCACCTCTTCTGTGCATCCACCAGACAGCGAAAGGTAGAAATGAACCAAACGAAAAGCAGAACCAAAATAATCATATGAAGCTACATAAATAAAGAGCCACATCTATCCATATCCTCACAGGACACGGAAATATTACATGACAAAACAGGAGGACAAAACAATGGCCTCTTTATCACAAGCACAGGGTTATATAACATTAACACATCTGCGAAATATTGCTAACATTAGTTATAAACAATGAAGTTTGTTTTTACTTTCATGTTTACAGAAAGAATAAAGAACATTACAAAACAAATTTTTACTTCCAAATGCTTACACAATGAAATACGTCTGTCCTTATTCAACAAGGATAAAATAGGGAAAAGAACATAAACATAGAAACAGGAAAATTTAGAAGAACACGATTCAAGTTTAAAAAAAGGATCCAAAAGATAACCTTGGGAAGAATACTGTTGCTGCGGTGACGCCTTCTTGGGGGTAGCAACACCAATCCTCATTGGCCTACTAGAACAATATGCACCATTCATTTCAGTCATTGCCTGAGTTCTTTCTTTCTCATCTGCAAACCGAACAAAGCCATAACCCTTTGAGCGGCCAGTGTTCGGATCAACTACTACTTTTGCACCTTTTACAGATGGAAATCTACTGGCAAAAGTTTCATGCAATAACGAATCAGTAACATCAGCAGCCAAATCTCCAACAAATATTGACAGATCAACAGCACCAGCTTCTTGGCGCCTATTACCCATGCTAAAGGCTGCCCAGTTAAGGTGGAAGACTTGTTCTGTATTTGGCATTGGTGAGCCATTGTAGCTCTGAAGGACTTTGTCAGCTGCTGCATGAGAACTAAATTCCACAAATCCATATCGCTCTGACTGACCAGTCTGCTTATTGCGAATGACTTTGACAGAAATAAGCTGTGTGATTTTAAATGTTGAGAGTAAGTTCAACAAGACCATATAACATAAGAACATGACTGAATAACTATGAAATTTCGTCAATTTTCTTTGTACTTGCATAGTACAAACTAGTAAAATGAGATTCAACTGATACAAGTGCAACAAATTATCACTGTACTATACCATTAGGAATCTGAAAAGAAAACAGAGCACCTCATAGTAAATCAAAAAAAGACTAAAACTCATTTGCCATAGGCACTTGAGCTAAGATCTAGCAATTAAATTTTTTCTTTTGCAAAAGATAACAAACTGTAACTTTGTTAAATTGTCCACCTTAAGAATTTCTTACAAGTCCAAACCTTAACTGTACTATGCAAGAAGCCAAACTCATGCCCAATAACAACATATGCCAATCATTCCATTATCAAACCGTGCTCCTTTGACTACCACAGAATCCTAGTAAAGTAGGCCAACAAAGTTACATTAAACATACAGATGTTATCGGCAAGTTTCTTTTACACAAATAAGCACATATTCTACTCCACAAAAGAGCCATATCATTTTTCTTTTCTTTTTTTTTTGGCACAACAAATAAGCAAATATTATCCAAGCCAAAGAAATCATGCAAGAGACTGGATACCATAACATGCTACAGAACCGTATTCTCTTATCCAGATGTCACCATGCATGGAACAACAATCAAGAGTATGCTATAAATATCTATCAGTACTTCTGGCCAGCCACGTACTTTCTGTACCTCCAGACATGCAAGTTTGCAGTCATCAGCAATGCAAGGGTACATACTTTCTGTACCTCCAGACATGCAAGTTTGCAGTCATCAGCAATGCCAGGGTATACGTAGGCAAATGAAAGTAGCAACCAAAAAAAAAATAATTAAACAAATATAATAAAAAAAAAACCAGCTAATGCAAAATGCAGCATCTTTATGGAGTAGCCAATGCCACTACAAATAATCTGTTGCATGCATCTGTCAAATCACGTGTCAAGCACAAACGAATGAAACAATTAACAGTAACTATACTTCATTTGATTATTAAGGAGGGAAGAGATTAGGAGTAGTGGAGGAAAGAGAAAGAAACGTTTTTCTCAAAGTGCCCGGAGCAGGTGATTGGCATTATGTGATATGATATCTCAGGGGCAAATACAAAATTGCCCAGTAGCCAAACCCAAGTTGAATACAACTAGAAAACCATTTCCAAAGCCTAGTTCATGAACAAACATAAAGTACGTAAAAATTGGAAATAGAATGCAATAGAGCCAGAGAGACAGACAGTCAAAGGACATAGCAATACATTGTAGACGTCTTAAGAAGAAATGTTTAATGCATCCACCTGCTTAACAAAATAAATTTCAGCACCTTTGATATTTTGATCTTGAAATCATACATTCCTTATGCGAAACATGAGTCATGCAGCAAGAACATCTAATTACATTTGTCCCTTTACTACACTACTATCTTTACTTCTCAAAACAAGTTTTTTGTTTTCAATATTTTCAGAAAACTACTAATTATCATCTTTTGCTCCAACTCCACGCTTAGCTTTTGGTAAATGTTTGACTGGTGTCTCTGTCCCTCCTTTGAGGACACATAATTTGGAATTACCACTTTTGGGTTGGGTTTCGAAAACATGTAATAGAGTTTCCTGGAAGAGACAACATCCAACTACATGTCCCATGCATAAGAAGATGCCAACTTGCTGGAAAACATACTTGTTTAGGATAGATAAATAACAACTACAAAGTGTAGTAACATATAGATTCTTCTTACTCCAAATAATTTGGCATTTAAACACACATAACACTTCAGAAATGTTGCTAAAGTACGAGCGGTGAAACAAAACGAGAAGTGCTAGGGCACAATATTGTTGCCTACGAAATAATCAACTCAGACAGTTTCTCATCCAATAATTGTGTGCGTATAGGCGTTAGTTTCCTAGCTTTTCTTCCATTTGTCATGAAAGACAAACAGTACAAAACAACAGCACAATTACGACCAACAAACAGCTGGATCCTTCAAAATACCAGATCTGAATCTATAATACATTTAGAATGACTATGAAGACGTTAATACTCCAATAGAGAAAGATAAGCAGTCAATATCCACTTAAATAGCTAATTGGTCAGTAAACTGTAGATAAAGTATGAAACACTAAACTATCCACATTCGATTAATGAACCGTCACTAATACTCTACGGAACTTCTAGAAATAAGATATTTTAAGTAGTATATAAATCGACAACAACAGATGTTTTAACGCGAATTACAGCATTTAACGAATAGAAGGATGCAATAAACCCAACCTCCGAGGCCTGAGAGAAGCAAGACTGAAGATAAGCTTCATCCATCCACTGCTGGAGATCGCCAATCCAGATCGTGCGGTTCTCTTCGCTGGAATTTTGAATCTGACTCTGCTGCTTGTGCTGCGGCTGTTGTTGATAGAGTTGGTGCTGCTGTTGATAGAGTTGGTGATGATAGTAAGCCGCCGCCGGCACGTATTGCCGGTCATACATCATTTGCTGCTGCATCACCATAGCAGCAGCCGGATACTGCATGTGCATGGACATCCATTGCTGCTGCATCGCCATCCACTGCTGATGATGCTGCTGCTGCTGTTGCTGCTGCTGATGCTGATGCGGATGCTGCTGTTGTTGACTCGTCAAATCTCCACCGTTCATTTTTCTCCTTTCCGGAATTTACCCCTCCCAACTCCTCCTCTCAAGTGGAGAATTTTACACTGTTTAGCGCTTGTATTTGTATTGTTTTGGGAGAGAGAGAGAGAGAGAGAGAGAGTCGAAGGGAGGGTAACCAACCTGGTCTGAGAGGAGAAAAAAGAACCAGGTGAACAAAGAGAGAGCGAAAGAGAGAATGGAGGAGTCGGCTTGGGATGACTAAAAAGAGGAGGGGTTACGACGGATCTAGGGTGTACTACTGTGGTTTACATCAATGTTTTTTGGAAACCGGACCGGACCGGATGTTAGACAGGTGGACCGGAACCAGTTGTAACTCTGGTCCAGTTCATACATTGAATTAATTAGACTTAAAAATTGAATTGAATCTTATAAATCGGATTGAACTGTTGAACCAATGATTTTTTTGTTTTTATCTATTAAATTAGAAAAATTTAAAAAAATAGTTTTTCCTTAACATTAAAGACTAATTATTAAATATCACATCCACTCACTTTCTTCTCATTTTGTTCTCTTATCAAATTTGTATTTCTATTTTCTATTTTCCTGATTTCCTCCAACTGCAATCTTCTTTTTTTTTTTAAGTTGCACTATTTAAATATAAAAAATGTGAATTAAAATTTAAACTCACAATGTTTAATTTCCATACACGTGAATTTTATATAATTGTAAAATATTGTGGTATTTTTTGGTTTGATATAAGATTATTTTTTGATAAATTCAATTAAGATTAAGATAAAATTTATTTGTTTTAATTTATAATTTTAAAATTTTATTTGTAAAAATTCAAGTTGTTTGAAAATATTAAATATTTTATCATATAAAATTTTAAATTAGTCCAATGCATGTCATATTTTTGTGTATATATATTTATATATATTATTTTTTACAAAATTTATTGAACCAAAATTGAACCGATCGGATCGATTTCACCTCGATCAAACACTCCATCCATCGATTCAATCAACGGAATTTCAAAACATTGGTTTACATATTATTGTTAGCAACGATGTGAATTTTGGGCCGTCGGATTAGGACTAGGAGTGGGGAAGAGATGACGAACAAGTGGGGACAGCAGATACGCGCCGGGGGAGGTGGGTCCCAATTCCAAACCCAACCAGGTCACCATGTGATCTTAACTTTGAAGTCAATTTTATTTTGGATGTGGGCCCCGCTCGCCCTCGCCCGGGGGTTTGACGAACGAGATTAGTAATTTAGTACTCATTGCGTGGACGAGACGGAGATTGGAGAAATCCTCTGTCTAACGGGATAGCCACTGATTGATCCCAATCCATGTAAATGCGGGCGGCGGCGGCGGTGGTGGTGGGGGTACTCCTCTGGTAGGCAGTAGCTGCCTCGCAGCTGTGTTAGCTGCTACGCTAGGCAGCTGGCTGCGGACTTGGTCGACTACCACGTTGCCAACATGGTAACGGTAGTAGCATTCGTGTAAGGTAGTGTTAATTGTTTTATTTGAGCACAATTTGATCATGTTTAGGGTCAAATTATTCTTATGTTTTTTAATTAGACAGTACTGGTGCTATCCCTCCTCCCTCCTAGTAATAATATGATAATCGTATTGAAAACAAATGTCCGGGCAAAACAAAAGTCCATATAGCTTTGGTCGCTCACAAAAAAAACCTTTTTGTGAAAATGTTTTCGTATTATGACATTTGAGATATGCTTTAGAACTTAAGCATACATCTCATAACATGCTAAACTGTTTCCGCCGCTTATCAATCAATCCAAGCACAAATTAAAAAAACCTATTAAAGAAAAAAATTCTCCACTGTTTAAAAAAAAATTATAGAGTCCAGTGACATTGAACTCGACTAATCTAAAGTTAAGCATCAACGAACCCCTCTCAGTGGTAGCTCTCTCAAAATTGTTTTGTTTTTTTTTCCATTCATAAGGCTTGAACTTGAAATTCTCTACCCACTATGTGTATACTCATGTATTTTGCTTTTCTTGTTCATATAACTTTTATTTGATTGATTATCGGTCCATCAAACGGCCTATTATTGGCTTCTTTTAGAAAAATAAAGTTTGATTAAAATCATATTTATAATATATACTTTAAAACACCTTTAAGTTTTAGAATAAAATATTGCTAAAAAAATTAAATAAGGTATCAATGCTAGAGATGGGTAAGGATGGTTGTTGATACTATAGAGGTTAACATAGATTAAAAAAATTAAAAAGTTTGGAAGAATGGGCGTTTTGAAAAAAAAACAGAGGAATTTTAAAATGCTAACTTTTTTTTTCAAACAACGGTTATATTTTGTATCCTTGCTTTGGGGATAAATGTACGAATTTATACCCTTCACTGCTTACATTCCTTACATAGGCCCTGTTTGGCATATGAGTTTTTTTTATCAAATTTTTCTGTTACAAGTTTTTAAAAAACTTTAGTTACAGTAATCTCAAAAAAAAATTTAAAATTTTTAAACTATACACTTCAAAATATTCAAATATTTACACACTTCAAAAATTTATTAAAAAACTTCTACAGTAAATTACAGTAAAATTTTAGACAAACACTCAAAAAATTCACTTGTCAAACGAGGCCATAGTCATATGCATCGTACATTCTTTTTCCTTTTCGTATTCTTGGGTCAAGGTTTTCTGGAGCCAAAACCATTTAAGGCTCGGGGAAAAAAATTAATGATGACACCTCCAATAATTCTACATGCCTGTATGTATATGCAAGCGAAAGCCATTTGAATTGTGATTTTTTAGATTTTTTATAGAAAAATATATTTCAATGATTTAACGCACGCACGTGGGACAAAAAATAATTTATGAAAAATATAAAAATAAAAAAAAATGGCAACGCAAACAAGTGTTAGAAAACATATTATTAATCCACCTTTTTATCGGATGTAGAAAGGTAATCTCTCGGCTCGTGACTAAATCCGATTCTAGGGCAAGGGGAGACGCCTCCTGCTGCTGCCGCTCCTTGGCAACGATGACTTTGACAGAGATCAAAGACTCATCAATAAGTTCTCCTCGTGGCTTCCTTACTGGTCAAATGTTTACAGCGGGATTCGGTGTGGACGCCACGTGGCTAATGATGGGTAGTTGGTGCATCAGCGTCATTGTCTGATTCAAATCATTCGTTCTTTTTATTGACTACATTCCCTCCCTTTTTTTTTCTCTCCCTTTTTGGCTTTTCGCTTACGTCAATTCCGCCTGCGTGCAAGGTTATTGTCCCGACTTCCACCACGTTAATTGAGAATTCTTCTTGTTTTTTACCCCAAAAAAAAAAAATTTTTTTTTTTGAGAATTCTTCGTTGTTAACTTATGTCTGGCATTATTCTTGGTGCTGGTACCAGTCACAAAAGTTCCAATTGCCCGGTCGTTTTCAACTCGTCTTATGATATTCTTTTACAGTACATGTTTAGGAGGATGGTGCTATTTTGTAATTTTCTCCAACCACAAACCACAAATTGAGAAAGAGAACTGGTGTCACAAATTGCTGGTCCGTAAGATATACTAGCATGACGGAAATATCAACTGATTATTCTTTAACTTGGAAGATTTTAGGAACATATCTACTTCGGCTAATTATTACTAGTATATGTTGTTTACATTGAGATATGAGTATCATCACAATGCAGCATGAACCATTTGGTATTAAAAAGATATACTCAAAATATTTGATCTCTACTTAAAATGAGTTCTACAAGATCAGGTATTGGGATTTAGGTTCGATTGAAAAGACAACAGTTGAAGCATGAACTATTTTTTTACGATAACGATAATATGGTGCTCTGATAACTCTTTTAAATTTTTTTTCACTGTAGATAGGGTTCAAACCCCTAACCTATAGTCCAAAGAGGACCCGACCCTTGTTTGAGTTGGTTCTGATCTTCACAGCCGCCATCACGCATTAAAAAGAACTCAGGACCACCAAAGCTTCCTCGTATTTTGCGGTAAGAAGCCAAGTCATTAACAATTGGGTAGCAAAGCATTTAGGTATTTATGACTGTATCTGGATTCTGTAATCTATAATTGACAAATTCCCAATCGTAGCAGTAACATACTCGAAAGTAGCATTGATGTACCTGAAATGGGTTATGTACAATTGACAAAATCCGATTGATGAAACGCTACAGCACAGGTGTCTCTTCTTCGAAGCAATGCTTTCAAAACGTAATTAACGACTAAACTAGATTTCAAGATGCCACCAAAAATATATATATATATATATATATATATATATATACTGTAAAAGAGAAATAAAACATGAAAAATTCAGGCATTTCGTACAAATTGATAATGCTTCATGGCATAACCTATGTGCTCGCAAATATAACACTTGCCTGAAGCTACCGCACCAAATTCAAGACTCTTCTGAATCTCATTCTTCTGAGAAATAACATAAATTTTGCTATGCTGCTGAGTATGGAAATTCAATCTACGATGAGGGTTACATCCTGATCAGCTACACTGTTGTATAACTGCAGACTGTTCGATATGCATTAGCACTCTTTGACATATATGGATCCACGAATACACGTTGCCAGGAGAACTGATAAATATAAAAATTGAACTACATTCACTACTATTATGCATTTCTGTCCTTTGGTGTCGGCGGAAGGGGAAGCTAGGTGCTGTGGCCAAAATTTTAACAGGGTGCTGCCCTGTTAGCTTCTGCTAACCAAAAATAATGAATGAAATGATTAAAGGTAATAAAGAAAAAAAAAAAAAGGGCCGTGCTATATTTACACACAGCATGAAAATCTACACCCTATAATCAGCTTGTAGGAAGCTCTCGTACGGAGTTCCCTTCAGTGCCTTTTCAACGTCTACCCAATTCTCAACCTGGGAAGACAAGGATCCTCTGTGTATTTTTATCTGACGACTGTTGAGCTCCATTTTTGGAACCCTCAGAAAGTCTTGAACGTCCATCAGTTTCTGGAAAAGAAGTACAAGAAGTAGCTTCAGTTTACAAGAGAACAAAATGAAACGCCAAAGTTTTTTGTTTTCTCAGTGAAAGTGAATGAAAAGATAGTGATACATGGGATGATGTCTTACAGTTCGGTTTTTTATTATGTCCTCATAATAGAGGACGATATGTCTAGTGCTCTTGAAGTATTCTAAAGCTTTAGTAACCATCTCTTCTACTTGCCTCAGGTTCGGTATCAGCAATGTTGCATTGATTGTGGGCTTGTATCTTGCAAGTATCTCAGCC